TAAGCTCATGTATAACATGAGACTGGCCCAGATTAGATCACACATTTTGTTTAACCCCCATTTTATAAAACAACTTGATATATGCTGCATTGATTAGTTTCATTTAGAGTTAAATAGTGTTTTTTTCTCTCCTAAAATTGGACTTAGAAACTAAGATACATGCATATGAACATTATCTACAAATCATAGGGTGATAAATGAATAGCAGAAAACGGTTTTTGGTAAAAGCTAAAATATATCTTCTGCTTGTTTTGAATTCATTAATTTGAGATTTAGCATAAATGTATGCAATGTGTGATTTGTATTTATATTTCTCGTTAGTATTATATTTTGATATTATTGGCCTGTCAATTATGAATACATTATATAGCACTCATTGAAACAACCGACTCCACTACGAGTCTGTCCGTGTAGTTTATGAGAATTAATATGGAGTATATAACAAATATTTGAAACGTCACACCATCTTAATGTCTAGGTTGTCGATATAATTATCCGCAGTAGCACACTCAGTTGAGTGATTGCCAGATATACGAGGTCCGTGTTGGATCCCTTCGTTTGCCATTGTTTTAGACTTACTCCTTTTTATTTTTGCAGTGTATTTTTAATGGAAATTACCAGCTTACCATTAACGCCTAGCAATAATATAAGCTTCTGTTAATAAATCAACATAAAGTTGTAAACAGATTGTTTTGATAAATTTAGCTATGTGATAAAAAGAATATGACACCAAACGATCAGTCCGAACTCTTTTATGTCTAGGTGACTAGTAAGTAACCAGGGGCATATATATGACCTAGTGGTGAATGTTGCTCACAGCGATAGGTTCGAATTGTGCCAGGACTTGATTTTCTGTCATGGGAGGAATCTATCCAGCTAGCTTACGGAACGTCGGTGGTTCTACTGAGATGCCAATTCGTTACTGAAATAATGCATGGGTGGGTACATCAGGTCTTCCCCTAGTACAGTGTAACACCAAATAAAAAAAAATCAAAGCCAAATCAATCAGATCCCCTTTAAATGCATTATTTTTTTTCATAAAAAACCAAACAAAGATTAAAGGTTTTTGTCATTTCTTTGACTGGATACATTTTCAATTATTATCAATATTCTATTTTTAGTTTTTAATTAAAACCTTTCACTAAAAAATGCCAATAAGATGTTTCATTGAATGACTTACAAAAATTATTAAAATTATAGTTTTCAAAGGGCGAACGCACAAACGCTCGGGAAACCAAAATTAAATGCATGAATACAGTAAAATTAAAAATCAAAACATTTGATTGTATACAATACGGTCTTATTGACTATTCATAACAAATATGCAACTCAGTCAACCTTGAAATACCGCAAAACATCATATACAATACAGTGAAACCTTGAATTATCAAAACATAATATGCAGTAAGTCAAGACCTAAATTACCATAACATGGTACATACATTCAAACTTTGAAATATCATAAAAATTATGTACAAGATCAAATCTTGAATTATGAAAACATAATTGAATACAGTCAAAACCCTTGAATTACCAATAACATGGTATGAATATCATTAAACTTTACAATATCATAAATTATGTACAATAAGTCAAATCTTGATTTATCAACATAATTTTATACAATAATTCAAATCTTAAATACCAAACATTATATTAAAATAGTCAATCTAATGAGACATATATTAATACAATCAATCAAAAGTTTAACCCAAATGACTATACTACAAACATTATATAACAAAATTTCAGATACAGTCGAACTTGTATCATGGAATACAGTCAAAACTTTAATACACATACTAAAATTTGCACTACAGTCCAACCTTCAACACACAATATAAAATTTTCAATACAGTCAAACCTTTTTAATAAGAACATCTAAGAAACATTATAAGTGAGTTCTAAATAAATGGCATCTTAAAAACAAACAATTTTGCTTCATAGATATAACTGTCAAAAAAAAAAAAAATCAAACAGTGACCAATTATTAATTTCTGTTCTAAAATTTTGGATTGTCTGAAAGAACTTTCCGACTGTACATCAAATAAAACTATATAATTTTATTCCAGTAAACAGTAAATTGAAACTGCAGTAAATTGTTTATATATACATGTATCTACATTATGAGTTAACCTGTGAAATACTGGTGTTGTAGAAAGGTACTGATTTTACCTTAATGTGAAATCGATTTGCCTTGCTTTGAATTTGGAACAACCTATTTTAAATTTAACGAAATCAAAATACAAAAAATGAGCTACAAATGTACCACCAGTATAGAGCACACATCATGGCCCTGCTCTATAAAGTAGAAAAGGCTAATCACTATTGCATCAAGAAGACTAAGGGTTAACCTTTCTTACAAATACAATCAATTATATCTGAAGCTTGATCATTTACCCCTACCTCTATCTATATGTTTTGTTACATACATAGAGTGATTACAGTTTATTTAACACTAGCTACAACATAATCTTCTTAACATTAAAACTCATTAGATACTTTGTAGTAAAAGAACATGACACTGAGGCATTAATAAACAACTGGATGGGGTCTTATAAAATTCCTGTCTATGGTAGCGTATTTGTTTTTATTCACTAATTTCAAAATCTAATGAACTCTCAACCTTTTTCATCAGACTCATTCTATTTGTCTCCCTATTTTAACTGATAGACTTTGATACCTTGAGATGCACTCGTCACCAAGAGGCGATTTTCTTGTTTTATATACATTACAGAAATAGGGTCCTTTATTCCATCTATGCTTCCTAAAATCTCTTCCATTGTGTTATTCTTTCTATCTACTAGAAATATATTGTGTGTGTCCCGACCACAAACAAAGTATTGACCATTTCTTCCCTCACAGACACAATATGCATTCTGCAGCCTCTTGTGTGTAACCTCTGACAATGTCTTGTTAATCATGTCAAAAGCTAACAGACCCTTTTTACTGGTAGAAATGTACATGCAAGAGTTATAAAGGACTGAAAAGTTGCATGATAGATTCCTATAATCAGCTTTTTCATCAGACAGGAATATATGTGTTTCAATATGACAACCTTTCAGATCATAAAAACTGAAAACACCTAACTTGTATGTTAAAGGTTCTGCGAAGATTACTCTCCCATACAACCATAGTTACTTTATCACACACAAATAGTTTTTTCTTTTTGAAACTGATAAACCAAAACAATTGTACATTATGAAATTTCCATGGTGGATTTACTGGGTACCGCTTCTTCATATCATCTTTATCACTAAACATAGTTAAAGACCGACTGATTACTAATGATTTTCCAACATCAATAATTGCAATTTGTTGACCATGCAAAACAGCCAACTCAGTTGGTCCGACCTGGCATAAACAGGCCCCACTCAAATTACATTCATCTATTAATTTATAAGTTTTATCAAGTCTAATGAGACCTTCATTTACAAGAATAATAATCTGGTCATTATCTAATATACAACTGTCACTTCCTTTCACAGAAATTTGCTTAACAAGTGATGCTTCAGGTGCATGGACTAGTATCTGAGAACAAGTGGCTACTGTATGGCCTATTTCCCTATCTCTATCACCTCTGACATTACCAAAAGCATCTATCTTACCTACAAAGGAAGCAATATCTTGATTGACTACAAAATCAATTTTGTCATACTCCCCTTTACCATTCTCATCAATGAAACTACTACTACTTACTTCTACCTCATGTGCTTTATTCAGAACTACAAACAGTTTAACTTCATTGTCTCCCTTAAATGCATTGACCTTTTCAATATTGCTCTGAACAGCATTCAGTTTCACATCAATAGAGTTTATGTCAGTCTTTATAGCTCTAACGATTTTGTCATGTTTCTTCTGGACTTGTTGGACAGAATTTCGTTCCATCTCTTCCATTCTGGCAATGATCTGTTCCTTCATCTTGACAATTTCTTTCAGGTTTTCATCTTTTTCTTCACCCACATCTTTAATCTGCTGTAATTTTTTAGCCTTCATGGAGTTCAGCTGTTTCCGAATCCCTTCTAGCGATGCCTTTGCATCATTTCTGTCCCGTCCATTCAAGATTTCCTTTGCCAGCTTTGGGATGAAGTCAGCACTCTTGCACAACCTTAAATGAAAAGAATTATTTGATACAAAATTTTATGTAATATTTGTGACAACTTACTCTATCACCGAATATACTTCAAAGTTTCTTAGGTTTAATATATACCATACATGTAGGTACCTATGGATAAAGGTACATGTAATTTCAATGTAATTTGAAGAATGACAAAGTTTTTGACTGGACATGATTTTTGTTAAGGAGATAGAGGCTAATAAATAAGTATTGCTTCAATACTCAATTTATCAAACAAACTGAATAAAATACAACTGACATATGGTTAAAAAACTTAATGAAATAAAAATTAAAATACAAAATATACACATATACCGTTAGTAAAAGATGTTGTACTTGAGTAATAAAGAAATCAAAATATAATCAAATTTATTCTAACTAATGAAAAGAGTATTAATAAGTTAGAGCACACTTCTCATAACTTTTACAGACTTTGTATCTAATTTGCCAGTACTAAAAATATACCCATTTTACATATTCAGAAATACATTTAATATTTTAAAATTAAACTCTCACCTGTGATCAACAGCTATACAAACAGCACAACAGACAGTATCATGTTCTCTACAGTACATTTGAATTGGGTATTCTGCATGTTTATCACACGCTATACCGCTTTGAGTCTGCTCAAACTGGAGCTTGCCTGATTTCACTCCAGATTTATTAAAGATTGTGTGAGTCTTGAAGCATTTGTTGTGGAACTGCACACATGCATGACAGAAGTAAGTCTGGCACTCTGCACAGAAATTCACACCCTCGATGTTTTTGCCATCATCAGAACAAGGTTTACATGGAAACTCGTGAACGATGTCTGAAGATTCATTCACATCAGTACTTGAAGTTGCCATTCTTTTCCAAAACAGGACAAATTAAGACCGAAAATCTGAAAATTTAAATTGAATATATTAAAATGTTTTGGTTAGGTCTGAAATTGAATTAAGTCACTAAGTATAATAAGTATCATTTATTTTCACAAAAGACTCTTCAGATGACTGAAACTAGTAGACCCAAATAAAATATTGTAAACTTGCTCTGGTGTTGAAGTGTATTACATGTTATTTCGTATTTACCTTGGAAAATAATTATATCAATAAAACTTAAATAAGCAGTTTTTGAGATAAAAAACAACAACATATTTCAACGTATATATTACGTGTATACACTACTACGTACGGGACGTTGAAATTAGCCAGTAATATCTAATATACATGTATTATTGGACTATCATTAAACAAGAAAATCACTTAGGGTTATGTGCGTGGCTCCCCTTCCTGATCAGCACTTGTATACATAATGTCTTTTTTTGCAAACCATACGACAAAATATTTTTGCACATTATTACGACATGGTCAATGTCTTGAACATAAAATATGTTTTCCGCTATTTTGACGTTTAAAAAACTTCCTAAAATATCATAATTTCCCAGGTAATCACAGACGGTTGTCTTCCTAAAATATCATAACTTCCCAGGTAATCACAGACGGTTGTCTTCCTAAAATATCATAATTTCGGTTGTGGGTCAGTCAGAGCCTTCCCCATAAGCGATACGCCCCTGTAAACACTCTATTAATATATTTGTAATATTTTCACACGAATGGGACATATGTTACAACCATAAAACTGGTTTTCAAACAATTTATACATACAGTATACGAAAAACAATACCGTTTACCATTTAGTCTCAATAAAGTAAAGAATGCAAAATATGAATTAACTTTAATATGAATTAACATGAAATAATATATGAATAAACATTTATTTTAACGTGAATGGTCACGTTAAAGATAGATCTTGTTTCATTATATGATAACAAAATATAATGATGTCCGAAAATTACATCCTATCCGATTAATGGTCACCACACTTAAAGCACCAAAGTTCAAGAAAATCTAAATAACACAAGTCTACTTTCAATATGATCTACTTGGAGTTCGTTTATGAAAAAACATTAAATACAGTGAAATTGCCATGAAATGTCTGTGGTAATTTCGTGTCAAATCAAATTCGAAATTGAAAGTAGAAACTCTTTAAGACTGTTATTTTCTTTAATTATGATTAATTATTATCTATAAACATTATAAATAGTGATAACAATATTTAGATAAGTTCAGACGTAAGTCTAAAAAAAGTATCAAATAATTTACCCACCTTTTAACAGTTTATAAAATTTGAAGAACGTTAGAGGTGGTGGCGATAGGGGAAGTAACTGTTCTCACATGACTGATAAACCTTTATCCTCACCTGACTGATAAACTATGGAATGCCGGTAGGGACATGCCACTTTGCTTATTTGCCAACTACTTAATTGCTAATTTGCTAATTGCTGATTTGCCCATTTGCTTATTTGCTGATTTGCCAATTTGCTTATTTGCTAATTGCTTATTTGCTTATATACATAAATTTTTATGCTATTGTCAGGCGACACGTCCGACTCGCGAAGTTCTTGTTTGATATAAAATAACAAGTCTTTGTAGACTATGGAAAGCTATGGAAAGCCATTCTGCCATGCGAATTGCTATTTGCGAATTGCTATTTGCGAAATGACAAATGCGAAATGACATTTGCTTATGATAAATGCAAAATGCTTATTGGCACATGGTTATATCCGATCAATTTTCACCATTAATTCAGACCGCTGTCTTCCAGGAAGGTAGGTAGTAAACAGATATTTGCGAAGTAAAAATAAGATAAACAGAAATAAAGAATATTTTTCACATGTTTAGGTTTTTTAAGCTTCAATTAAGGCGTGTTGAAGGATATGATCTACGACAGTATCCTCAAAGTACTTAATGCAGGAGGTACTTTGTACCAAGAATGACCAGATATTACAAATAATATTTACATAATAATATTTACATAAGAAATTTCTTTTGTATGCAGTGTTTTTCCTATTAATTTTATACAAAATATGGCATATTTTGAGGAAAATTAAAGTTTAATTAACCATATTCACAGAAATGTAACCAGTGGTTTTGTTAACGATTTGGACCCAACAATGCTTATCAAATGTTTATCCTTTTACTGTATGATTAATATTGAATAGAACTTTAGTATCATTAGCAGTAATTGACCATTTATATATGTTTTTAACTTTTTCATCAATTGTTTAAAAGTCATTTCCGGTATTTTGCTTGTATAAAGTGTAAATAGTTATTAAAATTAATAAATATCCAAGCTACAGTTTTAAATACTTTTGATATGAAAAGGTCTGTAATAGATTGTGCTTTGTGAATATTAAATCATCTCAAATTGACCAAAATGTCACATATTGTTGGAAATTCCATGAGACGCTCCATTTTAAGGAAACATTTGCTTTCTATTTGCTTGCTTGCTAATATAAATAATAATACTCTTTCAAAATATTTTATAGGTAGTGCTCCTACTTTAGAAGAATTTATGGAAACTCCTGTCTTTAAAAGCATCAAGAAAGATGCCAACAAGTTCTCTAGTTGTTGCAACAAAACAGAAAATAAAGGTATGATTTTTAGCTCCAAGATATTGTACTAACCCTGGTGTCGGCAATCGCGTCAGCTTCACAGCTTGGTTAATTTTTGCGGGCAAGTACAGTAGCCATTTTCACAAAGATATCAATTTTTAAAAAAATACTCATTATGACAGCAGGCAGCTGTTATTGTAGATAAAGGTTTAAAATTTTGACCAAAGCCTGACTGAAAAGCCATCCATAGTAATCTGACAGTTCCTATTGTTGATAGTAAAAACTTAGCAATAAGTCTTGATAAATGATCCACCCGAACCAAAAATACATACAAAAACTGAAGATAGAAGACTGGGTTTGATTTAGACTATTCATTGACATTATTGGTAATGAACACTGCCAATGCCCTGTAGCAAGTAACTATAAATACCTACTGTTATTGTTTCGTATTGCAGGCTGAGGAGTACTTAATACGCTGTGGGGTGAAGGAGAACAGATCTAGAGTTGATGCGCTCTATAAAACACAAAGTATTGGAACTGCACTTTGGTTGTAATGATGACTATGAAACTGTGAGAAACAGACTGCTAGTAGATCTTTAATTTCACGATGAATGTTAAAATGAGGGTTATATAATCCTTTTAATTATGGTGGACGAGATGTTTGATGAAGATAATTTTTCTGTTTTTAACTACATTCAACTCAATAAGAAGTATGTTGGAGCCATAAGATTATACATGGGTATGCAAAACAAACCACTGATGTACTTCAGTGACTCTGAGGAAAAAGTGTGTCCAGCTGAAATGTCAGCAAAACGAAGCAAACCGGGAAATGTAGGTTGAGCTAATGCGTCATCGGAGCAAAGTAGCTCAGCAAATGCGCAAACGGAGAAAAGTGTGTCAAGAGAATTCAAGGACTTGAAAAGTAGAGGTGATAATTTAGAATCAGTAGATCGATTACGTCGATGCTAATAAATTCTGTCCAGTATATGCCACCGATCCAGTAGTCTGTTATTGTAAAGAAATGTGATGTGACTTGCTGGAATCTTATGCCAGGACTTAAAATGATGGTCATTAAAGTTGTGGATCATTTTTACCATCTTTTCTTATGTTTAAACTTTTTTATACTGATATTGTAAATTTTGATTGTATCTCTGTCAAAATTTCTAATATAATGTACACGAGCTTTGACTGTAATACGACCAGCTCTTGTTTTAATTCTGTTCAATAATACAAAAGAAATTATTTCGAAAGTTTGCTTTATTTTTTTTTCTTCCGAAAAATCAATTGCACTGCCCTATTAAGGTCCCTTCATATCTAGTTTTCTTTTTTATTTATTTACATGTTGAATAGTTTAGTGTCATATTAAATAATATGTAAGGAAATGAACGCTTTCTCAAGACATTTTGTTAGACGAAAATATATTTGTTTAAAATTTTGGGTATTCATATAACAAGAAATTTATAATGTAACTTCCTATTACTAGTACATGTATGTACTCCACCTCTTATTTTATGTACCGAAATGGTAATGGTGTGAAGTTTCCCTATACTAGAATGAGTTGTTGTGTACCTGGATTTTGTTCAATTAATGAGGCTGTCAGATTATATCTAGCTTTTATTATTACTCAGTCTGAAATATGTAAAAATTATTAACGCCATTTTTACCGTATAAACTGGATAAAGTTAACTTGCAACCTGATGGACAGAATATTGACTTTTATGAATGAAAATTTTGAATAAAAGAAAAAGAAATGAAGTTGTGATTTCAGTATTGTATGGGACATTTATCATGTTTATTAGTTATGAGTACAATTTAACAGAATTTATGTGTGAGTTGATTCTGCTTGTATTATTATTTCAGTCTTTGCTGTGTATTTTTTTATTCTAATGTGCAGTCATTTGATGCCAAAACAACAATATGATGCAACATGTATGTTTTCCCTTGAATGAGTCAAAATAAGTACAGGGTTCAACCTCGTTGTCCGTTTGTCTGTCGTCCATTTGTCTGTCCGTCACACTTTTGTGTCCGCTCCACAACTCTACTATAAGAGGTATTCACTTGAAACTTGATAGGAAGCTATATCACATGAAAAAGTGCAGTGCAAAAGAACCATAACTCTTCCTTTCATAGTTTATGAGTTATTGCCCTTTGTAAATTTCTATACTAAATTCTTGTCCGGGCTATATCAAAAAGTATAATAGATATCAATTTGAAACTTTGTAGGTAGATTAATTACATATATGTGAAGTGTATTACACAAGAACCATAACTCTTTTTTCATAGATTAAGAGTTATTACCCTTTGCAAATTTCAAAAGTTAATACATGTCTGGATCATATCTCAGATAGGTCAATACATCTCATCCGCACATACGCAGGAAAAGATGAACACTTTTGCAACATGCAGCGCTGTTGAAAATAAATATAAGCGTTACAATTTGGCCTTCA